ATAGGCTGTATCAGGTTGCATAGCTCAACAACTAATGCCTTCGAAATCTATTTTTCGTGACATGAATAATTGGAATAGCTAACCCCTTTACAATCCTACAGGACATGTTCATTCCATTATCATTTAGGAATGCATGGAGCAGCTGATCAATGATCCAGTGTTGGTCATGTATAATGTCTGGTTCTCTTGGGAATGTCGCTGCAGGCTGTCTCATACGCTGATTCTAAAAAATGAATTAGTTAAAGATGATGTAATTGAATGTACACCAGGAGGATGGTTGGGGAAAAGTGGATCGACCTCTTTCTTAATGCAACACAATTAGAGGTTAACATGAACATAGTGTAACACAACTGTGATACTGCATATAGTAGTGTATGATGAATACTTGATTTATGACCCCAGGAAGATTAGCTGGTGCCATTGGGCTCAGCTAATGGGGATCCTTTTAAATAAATAAATAGGCTGCTCCTCCACTAGATCTTGTATTCCTGTGTGTTAATGTATTACAGCAGACTTATGATTGCAGCATGCATAGTCTGGTCGTTTTACAACAAGTTTCTGTGGTTGTTTACTTCTTGATATTACACTTGTTATTTCCAGTTATTTGATTCGAGAAGGAGAAGCACATGTACACATGATAACATAAATAATACTTGCTTTGGTAGTAATAGAAACTAAAGCGCCTTGTGACAGAATAACTTTGACACATTACGATTGTGTAGCCGCTAGTAAAGTATTCAATACAGTATCTCTTTCTGCAACACTGACCACATGCGTAGTTTGTCAGTTGTGTCAGATCAGAGCGGGTTTTCCGCCACAGATGCAGCAAATGAGAAAAGACTGAAAATATGTCTTTGTTTTTGCAAATGTAATAAGCAGTGTAGATGTGTTTCGCCAGCTCAGACTGATTTGTTGTGCTAATATTCAAATGCATGTTGTCCATCAGCATGCTCCACTGCCTCAAGTGTACCTTCACCCTGTGATGAATAAATCAATACAATTGCCAGAACTTTCAATTCTATTATTTACTGAAGCAGTGTCTCCGCGGACCGGATGTGGGCGACACATTGTACTTCTGGTTTCACGATTATTATTGTTTGTAGCCTATAGCATGTTGCTAATAGTCTTTTGTGTATGTGAATATAAGGAGAATGACGTGTGGAGGCAATAAACACTCCGTCTTTAACTCTCACTTATTGACGCTGCATTAGCACTAATATTATGTGTTTATGACTGTTAGAAATTAAAATCAATGTTGATATGGCGTAATTTGAATTAAATACACTATTGACTATTTGATTTAAATCAGTTTTATTCTGAAAAACCAGAAGTTCACTAACTATTAACTTGACACTTTTATTCAGAAAATTCGTCACTTCCGGTTAGCATTTAGCATCTGGCCGAATCATACGATTTCAAACGTTGAACCAAGGTGAAATGACATGTGATGTTGTACACTGAGCACACTGGGATTAGCACTCATTTATTGACGCTGAATAATGTGTAGCAGGGAATGTTTAAATAACCACAGACACCAGAATGATGTAATTTAGCTACAGAAAAAGGCAGGAATTGCATTGGACCCGCCCCCCGACGACGCCGGCCAATAGGAGAAGACCTCAGATGACAACAGGAAGAGCAAGCCAAGAATTGATCTCTTCTACCCCCTGACCTGTACTGACCGGTCGTTGGATGTGGAGAGCGCCTCCACTCGCACATTTCATTTTGTACACCACCGCATCTTTTGTGTAATTAAATGCTGTTAACTTTTATAAGCTTCCCTTGACTCTTTTCAGTCTCTCCTGCCTTCAGGGTTCTAGAATTGCTTTCATGACCAATAAACATTGGACGAATTGTATGAGAAATATCGTGAGAGACGAGCCAATGCCACGTCATCAGAGAACGACAGGAGAAGACCCGCCCCCGTCGACTCCAACCAATAGATGAAGACTACAAAATGATATAAATAATAATGTTACAGAGAAATATGTTCTCTCTCATTCATCGTACCGTAGATAGCTAACTGCTTTAAGTGGACTGTGGACTGGTTCTTGGGATTTCAGAACCTCAGCTGTTGACCTTTGTGAAACCTACTATACAAGTTGATTTAATAAATACTCTTAAACTTCCTTCTCTACTTTTAACTAACTCCTGGTCTTTGAACAAACGAACACTACAACCCTCTCTGTTTATCAGCCATGTGGATCCAAATGATGAGCTACCCCTTGAGCCACACCCCGTGTTTGCTCTCTGTATGATGTATACAGTATAGCACATGGAGGTTGGAGCATAGTTTTACTCGTCCAAGCTGTCTAAATGGTTCTCTATTGGTTTGGTCTGTCTCTTTGGCGATTCTTGGTGTCCAATGGGTCATTTTTGGACACTCAATTTCACTTGCTCCACCATTTCTGACGGAGTAAATCAATGCGACAGGAGCACTATCTCTCTCTCACCTGTGTGAAAGACTTTTCTCTGCCTGTGTAGAATGTTTTTGTCAAACAAAGGAAAAGTGGTTGCCAACAAGGGCACATCAGATATCGACAAATAGAACAGTGGAGATGACGGAGGATGACGAGCAGAATATTTCTGAGGCTAAATGTAAATGTGAGCTCAGGTTAATGCCATAGTTGCATGACATTAATGCACATCCTGGTCCATACTAGGGTGACCAGGTGTCCCACAAATGTAGCCGATGTCCCGCATTTGATTGACAGTCGCCCATCTAAAACAACGCTTATATCCAAAGGTGTATAGAAAGGGCTATCATCACCATTAGTTGTGTCAATCAATCAACAGAGAAATGTATTTACTTACGGGTGTAGCCGGTGGAGGGCGATTCCCAGAGAGTTATTGTTAGATTTGCCAGGATTTTCTTTTTTATTACGCACGGAGGTGAATATGTTTTGAAGCGACGCTTCCCCGAAACTCATGAGAAACACCTGGCTCATAAAGAAAATATCGATCGATGGAAGCATTCCTCCTGAAACCAAAATATATATTCATCTAAACTAGCTCTTAGCAACGCAGTAACATGTCCCGCACAAATGTCCTCTTTGTCCCACATGTGGCGTGTTGCCACCTGGTCACCCTAGTCCATACTGATAGATATGATATGAAAGAGAAAGCTGACAGAATGGAAATTGCAAATGAACTCCGAAGCAGATGTGATTTGAAACAGTAAAGTCATTTCATTTATTTACTACCTTCCGTCACAGAGCAGTGAATTATGTATTATATCATGTGTTTTACAATCTCCAGCACTGGGAGTTGATACTGCAGGAAACACAGCTGCTACCCAGCCACTGGGTGAAGTCTTTTCTGAGCTCCAAACGTGGAGAAAGAACAACAGGAGGAGGCTGTGTGTGGGCTATGTTTCCCTCGCCACCCCCCCCTGTGGAGACCTCCCTCCACCTATTTCTTCCTCCTCTGCCTCCCTACGCTTGAATCACATCAGCAAAGTGTATGTGTTTACCCGGAACAGGCGAGACGGCAGTCCATCTGGCGGCCTTGGGCTTGGAGCTCGACTGCTTGCTACCTTACCTCCTCGTCCCGCTCTGATTTCTTTTTTATCTCGGATTCCTGCCTTGTAAATGCTCTGGCAGTCAGCATCAGAAAACTATTTCCAACAATTGTGTTTAGGGGTTTCCAACTGTGACTAGACATGGCATGGTAGCAAAATAACTGCACAATACAGTAGCTTATTTATTCTTCAAATGCTCATTGGATTTTGAACATCTAAATCAAGTGCAATAAAACTGAGGCACGGACAAGGAAATGACACAAAACAAAAATGACTTAAATCTGATTTCCAAAGAAACCCAATGTGCCCTGCATAACTGTAACAGTCCATATCTAATGTCTAAGCACTAACAAAACGTTTATAAGGCATTGTCAATCTTTTGCAATAGCTCCCCTTTGTTTCCAGAAATTGAGAGGACATAATTGGGTGTGAAAGTTTAAATGGAAAAACCTTTCTATAGTTTGGGGTTGAATACATTTCCAGTTTAAAATGCTGCACCAAGAGTCCTTCTGATTTCACTGTAATTGCAGAGATGGACCCATCTGGACAGGAAGACAGACGAGCCTTTGAAAGCACTGATTGTTGAATGATGTGCCGCAGGGCGTCAGTTATAGATGACGCTTGGACCACCATCACTCACAATTCAATCAAACTGCACTTGATGCTTTTCCATCCTCACCCCAATCAATCAATTTTCTAAAAGTGAATTATGCTCCAGTAGGCCCTGAGGATTTGACAAATCATGCCACCGTCATAACAAGATATCTGGGTTCAGGTACATGGATACTTGCCAACACTCCCGATTTTCGCGGGAGACTCCCGATTTAATTACATTGCATTTAGCTGACGCTTTTATCCAAAGCGACTTACAATAAGTACATTCGACCAGGAAGATACAACCTTGATACTGCCCTCTCCCGGTTTCCTCCCGGGGTCATATTTCTCCCGATTTCTGACAAAATCTGATTTACTCAGGACTGTTTCCACTCGGACTTTAATACAGCTACACCATTGGTTTCCATGGTAACACGTCTCTTTAGTAGCGCGCGCAACTGACAGTCTGAGGGGGTGAGGAACATAGTCACAGAAAACTGAACAAGAATCGACAACTCGACCCTCTGCTCACTCCTTTCCTACAGGCTGCAAGACAGTGCACTAACAACTACAATAAGCATGTTAATGTTAATCTAATACAGCTCCGGCGATCCCCCCCCCGCGGTGGTTTTGAAATGCTCCCGATGTTTGGTCAGCACACACATGCTAAGAGTTCAGAACCAGAAGGAATGGAGAGTCCATTCAGAAAGAGAGACAATATGTAAACATTTCATTTAACAAAGTTATGTTCATCAAAACAATGTGAAAAAGGTAATAATAGAATAAAACAGATTCTCGGTCAGCGACAAAAAAGGAAACATTATTTGGACTTAAAGCACAGCTGGAATCAGACTCTGCATCAATGGCTCAATCAGAACAAAATAATTATCCAATCAGTGCACAATGTGTTTTACAGAAAGACTGCACATGACAATGGTGGTTATGAGGCGGTGACGCTTTAGTTCTTAATTAAATACAGCCATTTTAAATAGAACAAGTGGGTAAATGAACATCGAGAACAAAATGAAAAGGCAGCTAAACTCTTTGAACGCTTCAAAACCCATTTCTATGTGTGAGTCAGCACAACACTTGCTAATGTTCTCTCACTGTGGATGTTTATTCTACCTCCACCATCTGGTGACACGCTTTCATGTCAATGATTCTCTTGTTTTCAAAGGTAGGTCACATTGCCAGAAACACTTCACAAGCTTGTATTGTTCTCCATTAAAACAGTACAGTAAAACATAAGCTCAGTAACACACACTTCAGGTTAGGTGGCCTCTAGAGGACGATTGGACGTCTACAAATACATCCTGTAAAACCAATTTACTCCTAAATGTGATTTCTGAAAGAGAAAGAGTAAATACTGTGAAGTTTGGAGGGTACGCGTTGCCTTTATATTCTAATGGAGTGTCAAACTAATTGCTAAACATGGGGAAGGTCATTCACCATCTGTAAGCTATTTCTCTGCACTGCTTCATTTGCCAGCTTTTTATTTGTTGCGAAAACAGCAATCATCATTATATTACACTGCCTTATAGTTTGCTTTTGAACACCTAACATAACACGTCTGAATAATGAGCAAGCAGAAGAGAAATGCTATGAACACAATGCCTATTACTCATGTATGTATATATAATAGACCTTTGCTGCAGTATGCGTTCCATTCTATGAATATTATATAACGATAACTTTTCATATTGTAGGTTTGTAATTCAAATTTGAAGATACTATGCTCAATAATTCTTCTTTTTAATCCAATCCAACTTTATTTATAAAGCACATCCAGACCAAAGTGCTGTACAGAGAGACACATAAAATATAAAATCACACAGCTCAGCTCACAAAACATAAAAATAAGTATCGAAACACATAAAAGGTTTTTAAGGTTTATGGTTCTTTAGTGTTAGGGTTTCGGCTTTTTGCGTATATTGATCAGTGTTTGGCAAGTTACTTTTAAAAAGTAACTAGTAATAGTTATAGTTACTGCTCTCAAAAAAGCAACTAGTTAATTTATTAGTTACTAAATTATAAAAGTAACTAGTAACAAGTTACTTTACTTTAAAAGTAATAATAGAAATACGAGTTTTTTTGTTGTTCTGTGGCACAGTAAGAGAAAAGACAACTCCCCATTATTGTGGAAATGATCATTATGAAATGTAGTGGAACAATAAAACACAAAAGATATGTTTAGACGGTTTAGACATGTTGACAGGCATCTTTATTGTAGCCTCAACAATCAAGTGGACAATGCTTTCTGTCCTGCACACAGTTTACATCTGACCGTAATATTTTTCGCGTCCTTTATCCCCACAAATTGAAAATAGTGGTTATATCTCCAAGTTGCAAATGCGCTGCTGCTCTCGCTGATACTTGCATCTGCCATTGTGTGTGTGTGTGAGTTGTACCCTGTAAGTGGTTTTTTCCCTTCCTCTTTGAAAACATCCCTGTCGTTATACTTCGATCGATTTTTCCTAGGCAGAACACATTTATACTGCAGTGCTAGGGAAACATTGCAGGTGTGTTCTGTAACTTTTTTAAGAACTTTTTAGAACTAAGACCCGCACAACTCGAACCGCTAAAAAACGGCTCGTTGTCCTGGTTGTTGGTTACTGACTAACTTAGAAGCGGGGCTAGTATGTTTTCGTATCGTTTACATTTTGCTACTCTTTGACCTATATTTGAGGGGTTTGTCCCCCCTTTTCGGAAGGTCAAAGTGGGTGACAGCGAGAACGGTGGAGGGAGAGTACGGATCACAAGGAGGCCAACATAGGCCATTTTATCAAAGACCAGCAATTTCTTGGCCCCACTAAACGATGGCATACAGGCAAAACCTTATACTTCCCTTTACTTGACGTCCAGACCGGAGAGGTCGAACGTGCGCCAAGCTAAACCGATCGGTGAACATGACCGCCTTAAAAACGTATTTTGCCCTAGACTAACCGAGCTACGGTCGAAGCTTTCGTAGCCCTCGTAGTTTCACTTGTGCAACGAGTTGAAAACCTACGAGTGCTACGAAACGTTTCGGTAATGAGGCGAGGGGTGTTAACGTCAAAGCCGCTTCTAATTTTTATACAGATGCAGTGGGTAAGTTCAACTTACCCGCTTCGAAACTTTCTAAAAAAAGGGAGGATTCAAAAAAAAGTACGGACACCACCTGCCGCATTTGAAGAGCAACCCTCGGCCGAGCCCTTTTGTGTAGATGTTCGTCATTGTACTACGTGTATTGTGTCATTACGTCGTCCTATTATCACTTTGCTCGACTTCCCCTTGTACTAAACGGTGGTGCCTCGATTAGAACCCTGAAAATTGAACGTTGTTGCAACTTGAACTGGCCCGACTTATTTTTATTTGGTATCACAACCACTAGATGCCACAACAGTCAAGGAAGAAACTTGTCGTTTCCTGCGCATTGTGGGATAAAGTTGTTGCCTGTAGGGACAGTAACTGTAGAATTATCTATTTAATCGAAAAGAGTGGTTAGTAAAACGACCACGGGTGACTACAAATTGCTAGCATGACTTTCCGCGGAACGGTTTTGCTTTGTAAGTCCGTGCAACTGAAAAAGTTTGAGAGCGCTCCGTCAAAAGTGTGAATCTGCCTAGGATCGGTAATTGGTTATAACTTCCCCCCTTTAGGGGTGTTGTGTAATAAGCGGACTCATGTCGGCTGAATGTAAGACCTCCAAGGCCGGTGACTAGCCTGTTTGAATTATGTATTTCTTGTGTCTTATATTTTTATGGTTTTGTGTATTTAACAACACTAATAATGTTTTACTAAATTTTATTTATACGTTTGTGATTGTAAATGCTTTTACAATGCGGTGTAATTCCTGGATTTATTTTTATGTTATGTTTTGTTGTCAATGAAGTTATAAAACTCTTAAATGCAATCACGGCTCTACAGGTATCTTACACCGCCAATAGCGTCTAGCACATATTCAAAAAGACCACACCACCATTTTCGCACATACGATACATAATTAGCAGAGACCTCTCCGGAAGTGGTCACACGGTAATAGTTGGTCCGATACAACAAGCACAAACGGTCGGCGGACGACCGGTAAACTGACAACAGGCCTGTCTCCCCCAACCGTCCCGTCCCGAGACTGTAAATGCTGGGGGTAACAGAGCGGACCGCGCATTAGGGAGGTAACACTCGCTAAATCGTTATAGACCAGCGCAGAGACTTCCCCACTTCTCCGGCACACACACCAACCCTTAACCACGGTGCTTACTTGTGTCCTGTTACAGCGCAGTGTTTTGGTGCGACAGACTTGAAGTATAAAACGACTGTAGCCTTACGAAAGTCACCGACCGGCACACAAACAGCCGGACTATGCCCGACCTTCCTAACGTCGACTAATCTGTCGATACAAGTTAAAACCCCCCAGCCAAGTCGGAAACCCGGTCTACCTAAAACTTTCGACGAAATTTAATTAAGTCAGTTCACCCGAAAAGAGTACGTCGAGCTCTCCGACATCAGTCCCATTTTACCGGACAACTAACGGGAGTTGCGGTTTTACGTGTTAGTTTTTTTAACCTAAAAACTAGTTAAGAGTCGCAACCACCTGTGGGAATGATCCTGACCTACGAACAGCTAGAGGTGTAGTCAGTGTCACTGTGCGGTAGTTTAGGTTGTTCGACGTCTCCGCTATTTCGTGGTTCTGGACTATTCTCATTCGCCCCTAACCACCCTTCGACCGCGACATCCTTCACCCTTTGGTCCTCTTGGCTCTATGCCAACCTGTCTCCGACTAACCCCCAAGTCCTCGCTACCGACCCCTCAATAAAACAGATTAATTCGGCGACCGATGAGATTGGTTGTCTCGCGGTCGCAGTCTTCAATACACACGTCCCCAGCGTACAGTTCGACGCTGCACTCAAATCCTCCGGAAACACGGGAACCAAATCAGCACCCGGGTTGTCTTAACAGTGTTATCACGTAATAAACTTCCCGACGAGCCGTTGGACACAGAGAAGAACAAGGTCGTCAACTTCCACCTTAAGCCATGTTATTTAGGGAGGAGATGGCGAGACAATCTTACTTAAGTCAGCCCAGGATCATAAGCCTATTGCACTACGTTTAAGTTCCTTTCACGCGCTTACAAATGACTACCATAAATGACAGGTCGTTCTTTTACTCGTTAAACGTCTTACAGGTGGTCTACTTTATCGACAGAATATCGAGTGGACCTTCTCGTGTTGAGCTCCCCAACCCAAGTTGACGTTGTGAAAACGCCCGTACAACGGCGTGAAGACAGAAACGGAATATAGTCATATAGCAGAACATTTTTATGATGAAAGACACCATTGATTAATCGCCAATGATAATCGGATAAGGGTAACTTCCACTGCCAAAATATCAATGACACTAATTTACCACGCAATGACCGCAAATGAAGACACTACGCTTGACTTGGCTTAAGAGGGACGCCTACACTTAAATGTCCGCTTCTGTCGCTACAAGGAGAGTGTCTGGTACTTTTCACTGTTTAAATTGGTCTCTCCCTCACGCACTTAACCCAATTGCGGCCATTGTAAAGTCCATTTCGGTTAAGTCTCTGTCTCAACCCGCCCAGAACGGAGTACCCCTTTTATGTGTGTGCCTTGTGGACTTACGAATTGTGTGTGTGGTGTTTGGTGTGTGTGCCGTGTGCGTGGGCTGCGTGTGGCCGGTTGCGAGTGGTGGTTGTGTTGGTGGTTGTGTGTGTTGTGCCGTGTTGCGTTGGCCGTTGCAGTGGTGGTTGTTGTCGTGTCGGCGTGTGGCGGTGGGCCGTGCGAGTGGCTGTCTGTTTGGTGTGTGTTGTGTGTGTGTGTGTGTTTGTGTGTTGTGTGGTGTGTGTGGTTGTGTGTGGTGTGGTGTGTTGTGTGTGTTGTGTTGTGT